GGGTGACGGCACTCAGTGCAGCCCAGGCACAGCTGCCGCCAGCGGGTACTGTCAAGACTGAGGATCAGTTTGTACCACGCCCTGCACACCAGGCTGCAGCGGCCTAGCTCAGGAAGGTGCAGGTAGGCTAGGATCACGCGCCACAGCTCTAGGGGAAGGTCACCAGCTTCCATGGTCACCTAGGAGATGGATACAAAACAAAGTTATTATTTTTATTATTTATTTATTTATTTTGGTCACTGTTCCTCTTCTCAAAATACCTCCTTGCCATCTCCTGATCCTAGGGGTGAACAAGCAAACGGGCCCAGCCAGAGGACTCTGACCCCTCCCTCAGAATCCTTCCCTGGGATTTTTTTTTTTTAAGATTTATTTATTTTTATTGGAAAGTCAGATACACAGAGAGGAGGAGAGACAGAGAGGAAGATCTTCTGTCTAATGGTTCACTCTCCAAGCGGCCACAATGGCAAGAGCTGAGCCGATCTGAAGCCAGGAGACAGGAGCTTCGTCCAGGTCTCCCATACAGGTACAGGGTCCCAAAGTTTTGGGCCATCCTTGACTGCATTCCCAGGCCACAGGCAGGGAGCTGAATGGGAAGCAGGGCTGCTGGGATTAGAACCGGCACCCGTATGGGATCCTGGTGTGTTAAAGGTGAGGACTTCAACTGCTACGCTATCGCACAGGGCCCTGCCCTGGGATTTTTGATCCAGAATTAACAGGGCAGACTTGATTCTTTGGTTAGACACTGCAAAGACATGCGTTCAGAATGCTGGCAGCCAAGTTCCCTGTCTAGTAGAGAAAATCTCAGGGTTTAAGAGTTAAGCAGATAGGGCCCGCCGGTGTGGCCTAGCGGCTAAAGTCCTCGCCAGGATCCCATATGGACGCTGGTTCTAATCCCGGCAGCTCCACTTCCCTTCCAGCTCCCTGCTTGTGGCCTGGGAAAGCAGTCAAGGACAGCCCAAAGCCTTGGGACCCTGCACTCGCGTGGGAGACCTGGAGGAAGTTCCTGGCTCCTGGCTTCAGATCGGCGCAGCACTAAGTCATTGCACTCACTTGGGGAGTGAGTCAATGGATGGAAGATCTTTCCCTCTGTCTCTCCTCCTCTACGTATATCTGACTTTCCAATAAGAATAAATAAATCTTAAAAAGAAAAGAGTTAAGCAGATAGAGATGAGATGAACAAATGTGGGTGTGTGGGGCTTTGCCTGGAGGCTCTGGTCCCAGATTCCCAAGGACACCTGGCAGCTGTGGGTCTACCTTAAGTGCGGGAGGGGCCAGAGTGGACTCCAGATAAATCTTTTGGTTAAATTGGTTTGATTTGGGCTTTTGTGACTTGTAACTGTAACTGATAGCGTAGACCCATGGAGAGATCACCAACTTCATGCTGTTAGGATCCCAGAGCTCTGGGTTCCCCACACTTCCAGGGAAGAAATCCCATCTTCACAGCAATGAAAGCCGAGGCAGTGAGCGCCCATCCGTCTGTCTTTCCTCACTGCCAGATCAATTCATTACCACTGCTTTCCCATGTGGGACAGTGCAGGAAAGACTGCTAATGGGTCCTGAGGCTGTGGATTCTTATTCTGCCACAGGCTATTATTACTATGTTTACATATTTACCTTTACATTCCTGAAAGGAAGAGTGAGAGCAAAAGCCAGTGAGAGCTAGCAAAAAAGAGAGATCTTACATCCACTGGTTCACTCCCCAAATGACCACAACAGCCAGGCCTGGGCCAGACCAAAGGCAGGAGTATGGAACTCCATCCTGGTTTCTTATGTTGCTGCTGGAGTCCACGTACTTGGGTCATCATCTGCTCAAGGAAGCTGGATCTGAAGCAGAGCAGCCAGGATTCAAAACCAGCACCCTGAAATGGGGAGGCAAGCACCAGGTGGCAGCTTAAACTGTTGTGCCATACGCTTGCCTCTGCCCAAGGTCACTGACAATTCATACTGATGCCACCTGGGAGAAGAGTGATACTGGGGGTGGGGAAGAGCAGCACTGTGGTGTAGTGGGTGGCATCCCATATGGGTAGTGGATCATGTCTCACCCACTGCACTTACCATCTAGATCCTTGCCACCGGTCTGGGAAAAGCAGCAGAAGACGGTCCAAATATTTAGACCCTTGTCACCCACATGTGAGACCCAGATGACGCCCCTAGCTTTAGCTTGGCTCAGTGACATCTGTCATGGTCATCTGAGGAGTGAATCAGGGGATGGAAAATTCCTGTCTCTCCCTCTAACTCTTTGAAAATACAAACAAACAAACAAACAAACAAAAAGAGTGGTATTTCAATCCGTTGGCTGTAAACCCACTGAACTCTGGGTGGTTCCAACTGGGCCACCAAGACTTTGTCCAGGAGATGAATTTTGATAACTAAAACTGCATTCGTTTTTCAACAACATAGAAAAAGTGGATTTTTCCTGAGCTACAATCTCAGGATCAGCTGCAGGTGACCTTTTCCCCTGCAAGGAAAGGGGTGAACAAGCAAACGGAACAGAACAGCCAGTCTACTGAGAGAAAAAAACAAATCAGAGGCACAGAAAGCCACAGAGATAAAGGCGAGAAGCAAAGGGCTCTGGTTTCTCTCCAACACTGCAGGTCCCGACTTGTCTGCTTCAAAACTCAGCACTATCCTTGCCAGTTGAAGGCTATCAGATACCTCTGTACCCTGAAAACAGTTTTTTTTTTTTTTGGGAGGGGGGGACTCGGCTTCACTGAACTTAAGTTTTTTATGCCTCACTCAGAATTTCCTCAAGTGAAAAACAAGGGGGGCTAAGTGAGATGAGGTGTTGGTGAAGGTAGATTGGGGAGGCTAAGGCCATTTGGGTATATATAACAAACATCAGTCATGGGCCATACATTATTATCAACTTAAGAATCAGCTGGCTGTAGATTTACTGATTTTTGAGTTCTGCCTGTGGTTGCCCTATCAGGGTCACACCTAATTGTTTCACGGACCTCAAGTGGTCTGTAAGCTGAATGGGAAGCAATATAACGGGGACATGAACTGGCCCCATATGGGATCCTGGCACTTGCAAGGGGGAGGATTAGCCAACTGAGCCATCCCGTCAGGCCCACGCAAGACATTCTAATAATGGTATGAAGTAAAACAGAATGCAGAAACAGATCCATACATCCATCAGTCAGCTGATTTTTCACAAGGGATCAATATCATTCAATGAGTAAAGAAAAAACTTTCAACAAAACTTTGCCAGACACATGGAACAGCTTGACAGCCATCCAAAAAAAGTGAACCTTGACTTGCATCTCACACCATACACAAAGACAAATTCATGACTGGCTGCAGAACTAATATAAAACTAAGCCTACTGAGCTTGTAGAAGAAACCAGAGAAAAACATACTTGCAACCTGAGGATGGGCAAAGAGTTCTGGGAAGATAAAGCACTAATGATGAAAGAACGAACACAACTAAGAAATTGGTTTACCAAATTTAAACTGCTCATCGAAGAGTATCATCAATGGGTAGGTAAGTGGGTCAGTTGCTGCTCAGGATACGCCATCCTGGAGTTGACTGAGCTCAAGTCCTAGCTCTGCCTCCATCCAGCTTCCCAAGAATGCACAGACTGGGAAGCAGCAGGCAATGGATCAATGAGCTGAGTCCCTGCCATTCATGTATAAAATTCAGGCTCCTGGTGTTGGCCCGGCCCACCCCTGGCTGTTACAGGTATTTCAAGACTGAACCAACAGGTGGAAGATTTCTCTGCCTTTTGGTATACACACACACATACGTATATATAATTATATTTTATTAACTATATAGTATATATTTTCTCAATGATATGTATTATATTTTCTTAGTTATGCATACACACATATAATTAGGAAAGTAAAAATGTAGGAGCTAGAATGGAAGAACATATTTACAATGCATGTATAAAGGGACTATACCCAGAATATCAGAAACTAAATTACAACAACAAAAAATCACTAAAAAATAGGCAAACAAGTAGAACAGAAACTTAACAAAAGGAAAAAAAAAAAAAAACCACCAAGAACCCAATAAGCCCACGAGGCTCAGCATTATTCATATTCATTGTGGGTTGAACATCCCTTATGAAATGCCGGGAATGTTTCAGATTTTGCATTTTTTACATTTTCAAATTTTTATATACACATAATGAGATATCTTAGAGATGGGACCCAAGTCTAAACATGAAATTAATTTTATGTTTCACATATACCTTATATACATAGTCTGAGTATAATTTTACACCACATTTTAATTAACTTTGGGCCTGAAACAAAAGTTCCATAGCATGAAACTGTCCACTTATGGCATTTCGTTAGGGGTGGGAGGTCAAAAGTTTCAGAATTTGAAGCATTTCAGATGTTCAATTTATCCAAAACCAGTAAGATATCACTTCACACACTAAAATGGTTAAAAAAAAAACCACTAAAGCTTCAAAGTGATAAAGAACTCACACACATTGCTGTTAGAGGAGTGCAAATTTCTAGAATTGCTTTAAAAACTATTTGGCCATTTTTTCTTTAGCTGAAATATATATATATATATCCAGGAATTCTACTTTCAGATATTACACAAGAGAGATAATGTATGTTTACAAAAAGACTTTATTTCGTAGCAGGAAAACAAACTGGAAACAACCCAAATGTCCATCAACACAAGAGTGGAAAAACAAACTGTGGTGCATCACCAAAAGGGGAGGAGGTGTTGATACAGCTAAAGACACGGATGGACTGCAAACAAGACATGCAGGGAGTCTCAGAAGCTACTCACAAAGACTACATCTTGCACAACTTCTTTTAGATGAAGTCCAAAAACAGACCACATTAATCTAAGGTGATAACAGGGTTTGTCAGTGAGGTAAGGACTGACTTTGTACCTTGATTGGTGTATTAGTAACACAGGTGCATATGACAGAAAAAATACTGGATTATAAACTTCAGTTCTGTGCATTTCATTGTATGTGAACTTCATCTCAAAACAAATAAGGCTCTCTGCTTTCCCCGTGCTATAGACAGCCGACACCTCTCGTGCAGTTCATCCCTGAGACAAGATGGTGAAGGTCGGAGTGAATGGATTTGGTCGCATCGGGAGCCTGGTCACCAGGGCTGCTTTCAACACTGGCAAAGTGGACATTGTGGCCATCAATGATCCATTCATTAACCTCAACTACATGGTCTACATGTTCCAGTATGATTTCACCCATGACAAGTTCCATGGCACAGTCAAGGCTGAGAACGGCAAACTTGTCATCAATGGAAAAGCCATCACCATCTTCCAGGGGCGAGATCCCGCCAACATCAAATGGGGTGATGCTGGTGCCCAGTATGTGGTGGAGTCCACCGGTGTCTTCACTACCATGGAGAAGGCTGGGGCTCATGCCACAGTGCACGCTATCACTGCCACCCAGAAGACAGTAGACAGCCCCTCCGGGAAGCTGTGGCGTGATGGCTGTGCGGCTGCTCAGAACATCACCTTGGCTTCCACTGGTGCCACTAAGGCCGTGGGCAAGGTTATCCCTGAGCTAAACGGGAAACTCACCGGCATGGCCTTCTGCGTGCCCACTCCCAATGTGTCTGTGGTGGACCTGACTTTCTGTTTGGAGAAAGCTGCTAAGTATGATGACACCAAAAAGGTGGTGAAGCAAGCTTTCGAGGGCCCCCTGAAGGGCATCGTGGGCTACACCAAGGACCAGGTTGTCTCCTGTGACTTCAACAGTGACACCCACTCCTCCTCCTTTGATGCTGGGGCTGGCATTCCCCTCAATGACCACTTTATCAAGCTCATCTCCTGGTATGACAACGAATTTGGCTATAACAACAGGGTGGTGGACCTCATGGTCCATATGGCCTCCAAGGAGTTAGAGCCCCCAGGACCATGAACCCCAGTGAGAGCACCAGAGGAAGAGCGAGGCTGCTGGGGAGTCCCTGCCCCCACTCAGTCCACACCACACTGAGAATCTGCCCTTTCACAGTCTCCACCCAGACCCCCTGGAGAAGAGGAGGGGCCTCACGAGCCCTATCTTGTCATGCTACCATCAATAAAGTCCACCTTGTACCCAGAAAAAAAAAAAAGCAAAGAAACAAAAACCCAACCAAACAAGAAAACAGCATACAATCTCTCTCTCCACGCACTACTCTATCACCTGTATCTCTGTCCTTCCAGATAGCTGCCCAAGTCGCTAACCAGGACAAACCCTGATTCCTCTCCTCTCTCCTTCCCAAGGCAGGCGCTGGAGTCCTGGGTTTCCACCTCCAGGAGCTCCTGTAGCAGTCCTTTTCTCATCTTGCCCGTCTTACCATCTACGGTCTGGATTACTCCGGCAGGCTCTTCCCTGGTCTCCCTAGAGCCAGTTCTGTCCCATCGTGTTCATGGGACACAGCTGCCCCAGGGTTCTTCCTAAAATACAAATCTCATCATGTCACATGTGGCCTTCAAATTCCACAGTGGCTCCCCATGTCTTTCAGGATTAAGTTTAGTACAAAACAGAAATGAGCTCGAGTGCTCTCTCTAACCTTATGTCTGACATTTGTCCCATCCTGCCCCTTGCCTTTCTTATGCCTCCTCTGAGCTCCCACAGTAGTCTGAGAATGGGTTCTACCACAGAATTTTTTTTAAAAGTAAGATAAAAACATGGAGATAGCATGGAGGTATAGCAAGCTATCCTCTGCCTGTGGCACCAGCATCCCATATGGGTGTTGGCTCTGGTCCTGGCTGCTCCACTTCTGATCCAGCTCCTTGCTAATGGCCTGGGAAAGCAGTAGAGGATGGCCCAAGCCCTTGGGCCTCTGCATGCATCTGGGAGATCCTGGCTCTTAGCTTCAGATCAGCCAAACTCTGGCTATTGTGACTATTTGGGGAGTGAACCAGCAGCTGATAGATCTAGTTCTTCCTCTCTCTAATTCTTTCAAGTAAAATTAAAAAAAACTTCAAAAAGCAGAGTACATAAAGCAAAAGGATAGTTTAATGAGTCATTTGTAAAGCAAGCATCCTACTAATCCTCAACTTAGTAACAAAAATCAAACCCCAGAATCTCACCAGTCACTCTGGAAGCTTCTCCAGAAGGCCCATTCCAAACCCAAGTATTCCTGGTTTCCATAATAATCACTTCCTTGCATTTCTTTATAGCTTCATCACTCATTCTTACAAGGTTTTCATGCTTTATGAGTCTCATTCCATCTGTTGCTTCACTTCAATCTTTTTCTTCACAATTTGCTTGTTGAAGAACCTGCTCCATGTGACCTATTTCTCACAGAATGCTGCTCACTGCACATACACTCACATGAGGCTTCAACCTGATTGTCTTTCAACAGAATTTCCTGCAAATTGGCAGGTGGATTCAGAGGCAATGATCTGACCAGATTGGATCCCCTTGGGCAAGGCTCCAGGGAGATTTATTTTTATTGGACAGTCAGATACAGAGAGGAGGAGAGACAGAGAAGATCTTCCATCCACTGATTTACTCCCCAAGCAATTGCAACAGCCAGAGCTGAGCCTATCTGAAACCAGAAGTTTGGAGTCTCTTCCAGGTCTCCCACATGGGTGTATGGTTCCAAAGCTTTGGGCTGTCCTTGACTGCTTTCCCAGGCCACAAGCAGGGAGCTGGATGGGAAGCAGGACCACCAGGATTAGAACCAACACCATATGGGATCCTGGCATGAGTGAAGCGAGGACTTTAGCTGTTAGGCTATTGCACAGGGCCTCAGGGTGTATCTTGGTATCAGGAAGCCCATTTCTGGCTGTCTCTGTTATCGAGTGCCCATTGGCACTGTCGAGTGCTCAATGCCTTGATGTGCTGATTCGTCGTAGGCACCCTCATGTGCTGCTCTATCGTATCATTTGCTTTGATTGACCTACTAAAATCAGCTTTCAAGAAGATGCTTCCCTTGTTTGGTTACCCAGTGGTACAGCACATACAAGAAATACCTGGCTTGACTTTCATTTCTGTCTTTAAGGGAATCAATTAGCTCCTTGCTATTTTTGGGAGATGAGCAATTCAGGTTGTTTTTAAAGTTTGGAGAGTGTGTGTATGTGTGCGTGTGTGTGCTTTTAAAGTGGTTATAAATTCATGCATTTAAGCACATTTTATGGATTTCAGTTCTTTGGAATTACTCCTCTTACTGAAGTTCAAATTTGGCTCAGTCCTTAGGTTGTGAGACAACCTCAGGAACTGTCAACAGCTTTTTTTATGATCTGGTATACCAAGATGTTTCTGGTTCATTTTCACATGTCCTGCACAGACACATTAATCAGATACTTAACAAATTACTTTATAAAATAATATTACTGAGCACGGGGAGCTCCTTCAGATGTTCTGTTCAATTACCCAGAGTGACAACATTTAGCAAAACTGTAGATCATCACAGCCAGCATAATGACCATGATACCATCCACCATCACACTCAAATCTCCCCAGTTTGCACTTGTGTGCTTCTATTAAAGGTCTCTATGGTTGTATTTCCTGTGTAGGTTTGTGTATTCAGCACCACAGTCAAGCCCTTGAACAGTCCCAACACAAGGAACCTCGTGTTGCCCTTTTACAATCACCCCCACCTCCCTTCTGCCTTACAACCCTCACCCTAATCTCTGCCAGTCTGTAACAAACTCTCCAGTTCTAAAAACTGCATCATTTTAAAAAATGGAATCACATGTATTTTGCAGTGGACCCCCCTCATGCAGCATAACTCCCTGGAGAGCCACCCAATTCACTGTGTATATCAAGACTTGATTTCTTTGCGATGGTGAGAGGCACTCCATGGACATAACACAGTGTGAAAACACAGAACTGGGACAAATGTCACATGAGTAATCCAGCCCCCATCAAGAAATAGAATACTCCAAAACTTTCTCTCATAATTCTTAATTCTAATCCACTAAGAGGTAATCACCTTTTCATTTTCCAACATTGACAATTTTCATCCTAGAATTTCATGTAAATGGAATCATGCAGTATATTTAGTTTGGTGTATGGCTTTTTTCACTAAGCAGAACAGTTTTCAAATTTCATGTTTTGATGCCTACAATTGTAGTTAACATCTTTTTATTGCTAAGTAGTAGCACATAGCATGTTAACATACCATAGTTCCTATCCCAAGAAAATGAGATCTGCCTAAAGGGATCTGTAATTCTATATTTATAGCAACACAATCTACAACAGCAAAGACATGGAAACAACCCAGATACCCATCAAAGAGGAGTGGAAAAAGAAACTGTGGTACATCTAATCCATGAAATACTATTCAGTCATCAAAAAGAATTAAATTCTACCATTTGCAATCAAATGATCCCAACTAGAGACCATTATGTTCAGTGAAATAAGCCAATTCCAAAAGGACAAATATCATATATTCCTCTTATATAAGGCAACCTTCATGAAAAACACAGGATCAATAGTCCTTTCAGTACTCTTTTTGCTACAACTCGTGATTTTGGATATTTTTGTTTTTATTTTCTTTTCTTCAAAACAGTTTCTTTTCTCTTATTAAATTCTTCTATGACTCATAGGTCATATAGTAGGATCATTTTCTCCGGGAAAGTTTTTGATTTTCTTTTTCATTTCTTCAACACATTGGTCATTTAGCAGCATGTTATTTAATTTCATGGTGATGTAAATTTTTGAACTTTATTTCTGATGTTGATTTTGTTTTATGGATATTCATTTGAGGGAATGTATATAGTAAATGTGTAATAGAGACTATCCTATCCAGATGTGAAGATACAATGCAGTATGCATCTCTACTTCCAAACCAAAAACGGACTCCCAATGAAAATGTTAGATATATCTAGACAATACGATCCTGGACTGTCTGCCATTGTCTATACCCACAATGTCAGGATACACCTAGATAACAGAATGATAGACTTATGACTGATTATGAAGGACTATACTATTGTAAAACTAAGGGGAAAATCAGTGCGGGGAGGGATCTTAAGGAATGGGTTAGGGAAATCCCAGAACCTATGGAATTGTATTATAAAATAAAAAATAAAATTAAAAAATAATAGTTCTTTCAAAAATAAATATTCCTGTGGTGGGAGATTGAACTGCTTGGGTTTGGGGGTATGATAAGCTGCTGTGAATATTCTTTAAAAGTGCTTTTAATTTCTCTTAAGCAAATACCTAGGAGCCAAAACAGCTAGGTCCTTTCCCAAAAATTTGGACCATTTCACACTTCCAAGACTAATTTGTAAAAAACTGTAGCTGTTCCTCAACTTCACCACTTGCTGTTATCCATCTTTCTTTTAAAATATTTATTTATCTATTATTGGAAAGGAAGATACACAGAGAGGGAAAGATAGAGAGGAATATCTTCCATCTGCTGGTTCACTCCCCAAGTGGCCACAACAGCCAGAGCTGGGCCGATGCCAAGCTAGGAGCCAGGAGCCAGGAGCCAGGAGCTTTTTCCACATGGGTGCAGGGTCCCAAGCTTTGGTCCACTCTTGCTGCTTTCTCAGGCCATAAGCACGGAGCTGGATCAGAAGTAGAGCAATGAGGACAAGAACTGGTACCCATGCAGGATACTGGCACATGCAAAGCAGGGATTTAGCCACTAGGCTACCATGCTGGGCCCTGTTGTCCATCTTCCTAATGTTACAATTCTGGTGAGTAATCCGTGACGTATCATTTTGGTTTTAATCTGATTTTCCCTCATGACTAATGCTATTGAACACTTTCTTCATGCACTTATCAGAAACTCATTTATTTTCTTTTGAATTACTCATTCAAATGTTTTGTCTGTTTCAAAACATTTAGTAATTTGTTCTTTAAAATGTTTTTAATTTTTCCCCTTTTAAAAAAAGCTTATTTTGAGAAGAGATCAGATATACAAGAGTAATGCTTTGGGTGGAGTGAGTAGGGAGGGGAAAGGTGGTAGAAGGAGATGTTTCTGCCTTCCATCCTGTGTCCCCGGGAAGAGAGCTCCGCAAGTTGGCAGATTTCACATGCTCTTGGGAAGGGGAGAGGGCTCCTGAAGCCATCCCAAGCCTCTGTGAGGGGGAGGTACATCCTGGAGGCAGGAGGCATTTCAATGATAGATAATTGAGCAGGATATACAGAGATCAGGGTAAG